GCTTTCGCAAGCAGACATGCAAGTCTAGATGAACCATTTGGCGCTGTTCCCAAATCCTTGTTCCGGCCAAAAGCAGGCGCTAAACATCCAGAGAGCCCCTCCGGGCTCCTCCCGTACGGGTTTTGGACAGGACAAGTTGAAACTAATTACTCAGGTCAAAACTTTCGGTCAAAACTTCCGGACCAGAAATGCTTTGGGAAAGATCCAAAACAGCCCAGGTCTGGAGAGCCAAAGCACCAAACTGGTCTCGGACAAGTTAAAACGAAAACTCAGGTCAAAACTTCAAAGCCAACAACTTTCAGTCAAAACTTTCGGTCAAAACTGAGGTCAAAACTTTTTGGGACCCTTTTCCTATACAATTGCACCAAACTGGTTTTGAACAAGTTAAAACAGAAACTTTCGGTCAACACTCAGGTCAAAACTTTTGGTCAAAACTTTCGGTCAAAACTCATTTCTCTGTTCCGGCCAAAAGCAGGCGCTAAACATCCAGAGAGCCCCTCCGGGCTCCTCCCATACTGGTTTTGGACAAGTTGGAACTAATCACTCAGGTCAAAACTTTCGGTCAAAACTCAGGTCAAAACTTTCGGTCAAAACTCAGGTCAAAACTTTCGGTCAAAACTCAGGTCAAAACTCAAGGACCCAAACCCTATACCCTCTCCGATTTTTAGACAAAGCAAAACGGAAGCTGAGATCAACACTTGGGAGCCTGAACCCTTTCCAAAGGCTGCTGGGGCTTTGGGAGGGTCCTGGGATTCTGACTTCGACCCCCTAAACCCTAAACCCTAAACCCTAAACCTTGAAAGGCTTTTGGGCTGAGAGGTGCCTGGAAAGCCCTGGGAGGCCCCTGGGTCTGGGAGAAGGGGGTTTAGGGTTTAGGGTTTAGGGCTCTGACAGGCCCCTCCCAAAACCCCCGTCCCAGCCCCAGGTTTGCCCCCCCAGCCCCCCATTCAGTCTCAGGGCCGCCCCCTGCACCAAACCAGTTTTGGACAAATTAAAACCAGAAACTTTCGCTCAAAACTCAGGGACCCAAACCCTATACAAGTTCTATAAACCCTAAACCCACCCCAGGCTGCTGCGGCGGCGCCGTGAGAACCGCGAGCATGCCTTGGCCAATGGCCAGGCCCCACAGGCCCCGGCCAGCAGCAGCAATATGAGCCCCAGGGTCTAGTGTAGGGTTTAGGGTTTAGGGTTTAGGGTTCAGGGTCTAAACTCCCTAAAGGGGGGTATAGAGGGAATTCTATAGGGTTTGGGGTTTAGGGTCTAACCTCCTTCAAGGGGTGCTTTTTAGGGGATTATGTAACCCACTTTAATTGGGGTTTAGGGGTAAGGGGTTAGGGTGTAGGGTCTAGACTCCTTGAAGGGGGTCATATAGCGGATTATGCAAGCCACCTTAATTGGGGTTTAGGGGTCAGAGTGTAGGGTCTAAACTCATTAAAGGGGGGTTTATATAGGGGATCATGAAAGGGCTCATTCTGCAGGATACTAGGAGCCAATTTTTCAGCAACCTCCAAGATTGTTTTTAACACGGTTTCCTTTCAAGGTCGCGGAAAAGAGTGTCTGCAGATAAGGAGACCACCACCCACCGGATTACACCATTTCATATTCATACCTATAGTCACGATGAGAACAGTGCAACTGCCATGAGTGTGCTTGTCCGTAGAAGGTTTTACCCCAGTGGTATAGACTGATGACATTATCAGTAGTACTGCGACTGCTACAGCCGTCCCAGGGCTATTGTTACCGCAGAGGCTGTTTTCAGGAGAGCATCGTTGTTCTGAGTTTGGACGGAAAGACTTGCGTTTGTGTTTGCAGAGGTAGGTTCGTTTACATTGGCTGCGCTGGGTCAGACCACGCTTAAAGCTAATATGTTGAGCAGCGCCGCGGCAGGAAATCTCCTAAACAGTTTCCGCATTTGTGCCGGAACTGATTAAGTACTCATAGTACTCCCATATCCGGCAGAGGCTTTGCGTGAGGCAGCAGCTCTAGAAACCGGCCTAGATCCGGAAATAGCTGGCACCTGGCACATGTGCCTTTATGAGCCAGGATAATTTAGAATTCACGTGCTTTCGTCTCATTGGGTGTCCATCTGTGTCCCATCATCAATGAAGACATTGTAGTGTCACTTTTGCCCTGTGAAGGTTCTGTGCTTGTCGGCTGCGGCTAAACGAAAGGCACGCAATCGGTCGGACCCTTACATCACTGAGTGTCACTGAGTGTCAGACTCCCTGCACGTGATGGTGCAGCCGCGTACTGAAGAATGAAATGTAAGCAGGGGCTTCTACTCAGACCAAGGGCTGAGCGTAAGCCTGCTGGCGTGCAGCTGGATGACGTGGAGCTGTGGGCCTAGCTACCAGGGTTCAGCCCAGATCCTGTTTACTAACCTTTAAAATGACTGTTGAGCTCTGGGCTTCTTGACACGGTCAAAGCTCAGCTTCGGCCTCCCGCGGCCTCTATACGTGTCGCGCTCTTCCCGACGAATTTGTGGCAGCTTGTACAAGTCTAAGTGCAGCTTGTAAGTAGCCAAAGGATCGGGCAAACCAAAAAACAGTTGCCAACTTCGGCCTCATGAAAGCTGGGTCTGTTTCAACATGGTGGAACCTGCAAGTTATGGATCCTGTTCGTGCAATCAGGCAGACAAAAACACTCCATACGCTTCCAGGTCTGAGCTGTTCTACGGAGCACACCAGGGCTCTGTGGCCTCCTGCACCAATGCCGTGTCCAAAGGCACCCAGCTCTTTGAAATCTGTAGGAATGCAGCGGTGCAACGTCGGGGGTTTCATGTCTAGTTTTGTGAATTGACTGACATGGTGCCAATCCACGTCAAGCGCCATCATGAAGAGGGTCGGGCCACTGAGTGGCTGACTGGTCCAGTGGCACAAGCCCAAGTGAAGCAGGTGTTGACGTCAACGTCCGCACCAAAGCTGACTTAGACGGCGCACGGCGCCCAAGATCACTTTCGCATCGTGCTCGCTCCAGTTCTTAGGAGCAGGGTCTTGCATCGTCCAGCACGCTTAATTATCGTGTGATCCCCTTGTGCCAAATTCTTGCCTAAAGCTGGGTTGCTCAAACTGTGCTCGAACAGTTGACTTGCACAGCGCTTGGATTCCAAGGTGGGTATCGGCGCGACAGCTCTGCACGTTGCAGCCGTGCGCGGCCACGAGGATCACAGAATATCAGAGGTACATACACGTTTCAAAATATTAGGGGTCCTACTTTTGGGGTTCATATCATGACGAGGATTGAAATGTTTTGGAGTGTATGGGTGGCTCCACTTGTTTTTAGAATGCTCGCATGCGCGACTGCGAGACGCAGTGAAGGCGCGCGGTGTACCTTAGGCTCGATTCTAGAACTGGAATTGCCCAGAATTATCCCCATTGAATGCTTCTTCAGGTATGAGGGTTCAGGGATGAGGGTTTCCCAAAATTATGGGTACCTTTAACGGGGTTATATAGGGGACCGGACCTCCCATGGCAGTTTGAAAATGTTCCCCTAGGGTCGGAAAGATCCGACAGCTTCTAGATCAAAAGCTGCGTGTACCAAGCATTCGTGACAAAGGTATGTAACAAGCAAACCGGGGGTTTGATCCATAGCTGAGAAGGGACTCTTACTCGTAGCCACTCTGTAGCTATGTGCCACGCACTTGGGGTGCCACACGCTTGGGAACAGAGGAGAGTGATCCACCCCAGGCTTCCAGTTCTCTGATGTCGTAAGCCCACCCAATCAGCCGCAGAATACAGATCAAAGGAAGTTGTGATGCCCTCCGCAACTGGAAATCACCGATACAACCTTCTACACTTGAGGATGTTGTGGCAGCGCTTCTTCATGCTGGCTCCGACCCATTGGCGTTAACAGGCGCGAGTACTCCGCCTGCTTAGAGCAATAGGTCAGTGCACCAATCTTCTCACATTATGCTGAATTGGTCGCTGTAAATCTGCTGGCTTGTTGCCTGAGTGCGTAGGTGGTGTTCTTCAGGATTTTGCATGTGGCGCTGTCAGTCAACTTTGTGGGTGCTTTCGGAGCGTTCTGCTTTTGTGGATCTGCAGGACAGTTCGAAAAAACAATAGGATTCTGTGGGCGATGCAAGTCGAGGGTCTGGACACAAAAGCGCACGACCCGGGGCAGGGATTGCATCAGCTTCTCTTTGGTACGTTCCACTTGGCTTTGGGTTGGCCAATTTGTCATACAGCGCAATGCCCGGAAATCAAACATGGGACAAAACCGCAGACTCAATAGAGTGATTAGTGCAATAAGCACTAGAAACTCACAGAAAGGGCATCTGACAACAACTCCCTCCTACCAAATGCACCGGCATCTTAGATGTCACTCCTTTGACCCTGGCACGTGTGACTTTCGCGGATGACTGTGGCCTCACAAGCGGCACGGCCCGTGACTTGTGCGCCAGGGCGAGGGGAAACCCCAGTCCAGCTGGCAACGCGGATGGGCCACGTGGAGGTGGTGCAGGCGCCGGGAGGAAGGTTGCATTCTTGCTTCTTGCCGTCAGGCTGTTTGATCGGCTTCTGCAGAAAAAAGCAAGAAATAAGTTACCAGAGCAGCCGCAGTGCACTGCAGACTGCAAGTACCTTACCTTGATAGTGCGGTGTCCTGAGTCGCCTTTGGCTTTCTTACACTTTCAATGCTGGGGATGTAGGTCCTGCGCTCCTCTGGCGGAGCTCCGACGCATGCTCCCACCTGAGATCTGAATTGGCATGCGAAGCTGGGCAACTTTACTGCTGTGAGCAAAGGCAGAGGGAGTGTCGCAGCTCCTGACCAAAGCCCCTCCATCCTGGGTGTTGCTGGCACATTTGCTGCGTCGAAATGTGCCGCCTTCTCAGACGGAGGCACTGCCTAGATACGAAGTATACTACTGCCTGACGGTTTGTAGCATGAACAATGAGCAATGAGCAATACCACAAACTTTGCCAGCGTGATGCGCAGCGAAAAAAGCTCCGAAAAGCCCTGGACAGCGAGACCAGGAGCCTGTGGGGGATTGCCTTTCAGTCAGCGTCCCCCTCCAACTGCTGCATGTGACAATGGTAGCGAGTTCTTCTGTAGGCATCGGATTAGACATCTTCTTAGGGGGCTTGCCAAAGGAGAACGCAGGGTGCTCACGGCACCGACCGTCCGGGGCTCGTGGGGGCTCGTGCCAGCAAGCTGTCTGCCAAGCCTTGGCAAATATGAAGGGAATGAGCTCAGGTACACCAGTAATCTCCTATACTGGCTGCAGCAGCGTCACATGGGGACACCTGTTCACAACAAAAGGAACTGTAGCTCGTGAGTAGAGGACGTATGTGGTAGGTTCCTTGAATAAGGGGACCCCAAAATATTATCGTCCTTGTTATGGGGATCCCAGAATGATAACCCAGGGTTATGTCAACAAGCGAAAAAGAAATGGCCCATAGGCTGGCCGCGGTCGTAGTTGCTACATGAGCTATAGTCTAAACTCTTCAAGGGGGCTATATAGGGGATTGTCTAGGTGAGTATTGTAGGGGTCATTGGGGGGTATACTGAGAGTTTAGACTATATAGCTCATATGGTTGGTGCAAGATACGAGGCCAACTTAACTGTTTAGGGTTTAGGGTTTTAGGCTTTACAAGTAGGGTCCATCCTTTGGAAACCCCAAAACCCCAGAACACCTTGTTTGCAACCACGCCCCTCTGCAGGCAAATGCAACTCTACAGCCCCAAGCCCCTGAACTCGCCAAACTAGCTTCGGCCTCTTTTGGTACCCATATGGGGGTTTCCCAAAAGGCAGGGGCTCCTTCGGGCTATAGATTATATTACGGCACCGAATACTTAGGGGTATCAAAATGGGACCTTAATTCTGGGAACTACCCAAGTGTTTTGGGCTCTTGCGCCTCAGCGAGGCCTGTCACTGGAATCGTCCATGCGCTGTACTCAGAGACTCAGAGGGGAGCAGGTTATATTGAGTTAAGATTTGGACAATGGAAAATGAGATGGGAACTACTCTTTAGGGTTTAGGGTAGTTGATGGGGGAATGACTGTGTGTCCTCGCAAGCGAGAAGCTCGAACCTTATCTAGAGCCCTGGATATCCTGAAGAGACGATTTTGACTGATGACGCCTTGGCAGAGGCCACCCGAGCAGCCTCATGAGGATGGCAGGCATTCAGGGTGCAGGTTGTTTGGTGTGTGTGTGTGTGTGTACGCGCTGAACCGTGCTCCCCAAGAAAGAGAAGTTTTTCATGGATCACCTGCCCCAATGGCTCCGAACTCATGGAGGCCCCAAGCTCAAGAACTGAGGAAGCCAGGCTAACCGCACCTTATGTAGAACTTTGGTGGCAGAAAAAGCACACATTCAGGGAAGAGACTGGAATAGGAATCAAACCAGCATCGAAGATGCGTTGCCGCCATGCCAGGTAGGAATGGTCTTCCACGTACCCGTCAACCTGCAATCCCTGCTGCAACTGCAACAGCATACCCGTGCCAGGTTTGAGCAATCCAAAGGTGGGGACAAGGGCGACAAAGGTGGCAAGAGTGGAAAGGCCATATAGCCTAAACTCCTTCAAGGGTGTTACATAGAGGAATGTATATATATATATATATATGTAGGGGAGTATTATAGGGGTTAAAAGGGGGATACAATTCAACCTGATGATTTGAGATTTGATGCGACAGGCTTCTAGTGCAAGGATATTGAACCCGAATAAAATGGAGACTCAAATGGAAAAGAGAATGGAAACTGGGATACAGGGGTTTGTCCCTAGAATAGGGAGGTAGGCAGTATGCTTGACAAGGTTCTGATGCCAGACCAGTGCAGATGTTGTGCAGTCAGCAGGGGAAAAAGCGGCCGCGGAGTCGCAAAGGAAAAGGAAAGGCCGACCGGACGTGAGTTCAGTGGTCCTTAAACGCGTTGGGCTGGCAGCAGGTTGGGTGAGTTGCATTTTGGAGTCATGATACGGGGGTCCCAACGTGACTGTCGAATGGATGCTTCACCTGTCATCGTGAAAGAAGACTCTCATAGATTCTGTGTGGGTTTTGGCCAGCAGCTTTGCCATGGCTTTTTCTGCTCTGCTGTCATGATCAGTAGAAGCCAAAAGCAGGTGCTTGGGCATGTCTTGGAAGAGTCGCACTACGAGTCGGCAGTTCCAATTAAACTGGGTTGCTGTTCAGGAGCCTGAACTAAGCTACTATCACGACGGAGCCCCATTATTGACTGTATACCCATCTTCTGGTAACTTAATTTAAGTTCCTTAACAGCAGCCCAGTACAGATATAGTTACGAGCCACGGGATTTGGCGCAGCACTTCTTTGAGCCTTGTCGCTGCAGGGCAAAGAAGACGGCTCCGGAAACTGGACTGCATGAGAGGCGAACTCGAGTGCAAAGCCGCAAAAAATGCCAAAAACAGCTGTGCAAAGCACTTGAACCTGCGTCTAGGAAAAGGGTGTCGGGGTCAACTAACCACGACAGCTCCACAGCGTGGCACCTGTCTCCCTGTAGCTCTGTTTCTTGCAGCAGCCTTTCTTAGGGTTTGGGGGTTTAGGGGTTTAGGGCTTTAGGGTTTAAGGGTTTAGGGTTTAGCAGACCAGCCCGGCAAAGCTTCACGTCTACGAGTACATCTGATGAGGATCAGGGAATCAGAGGTTCTCAGGGAAGGAGACCGCTTTTGCTTCCATAATTTTTTGGGAACACAACCCCTAAAAGTTCGATGTGAAGCTCTTTGAGCACCATCTGGTTGCTTTTGAAGGTGAAACGCTGTGATTTTACCAAACCTGTCCTTGGAGAATGAAAGTGTCTGCAAACATCTTCCTGGAGCGAACATGATGGCAAAACTCAACCAAAGAGAGGAATGGCTTGGGTCATTTGCATCACACTGCTCCCGGAGACGTGCTTGTCATCTTGCGGCAATACTGTTGACTGCTCTGGGATCTCGATAGTGGATGTGTAATGACTTGTGCGTAGCTTATTTGCAAGCAGTTT